AGGTGCTAGTTTCAAATCCTTTTTAGTCTGAAATCTGTATGCTAGATATTGAGTAAGGTGGTTTTATTGTTTTTTGTCACTTTGAATAATATTTCTGTTCATGTTAAAAACAAAATCAACTCTCTGTATAAATATATCAGGTGACCGTTAAGGCCCATGGGCCTCTTGTTTATATCAAAGTTTTAAAGTATAGTAAGATAAACCTCACGTAGAAAACATTTATTATACATTTTCAAATGTTAATCAATAACTTCATGTAAGGAACATTTTTGACCAGCTATTTATGGTTTGACTACTGTGAGCATTATTTTACATTTATTGCTTTCAATGGTCAGGAAAAACGACTTTTTGTTTTCCCCCAAGATTAATCATGTTTCACAATAAGAGTGAAACATGATTAAATCAAGGGAAGCAAAGAATTGTATTTCCCTTCTGCAAAGGTAAAGTTAATACATATTTTATTATACCAAATTGAACAATAACACAACAGTGTAAATGATCAGGTCTCTGCACCATTGTTGTTGTCTGCCTCAGTCGCTCCGAACTCAGGTGTGGTGCCTCTTGCTTAATTTTACTAGAGAGGCCCTAACTTTGGGAAATATGACCATAATCCAATCAGAAATGCTGCTATATATAGATGAGGTAAAATGATATGGTACATGTATGTCAGTGGTTTTGAGTACAATGTGAGTTTGTTTGATGTCAGTGATGTTGAGTACAATGTGAGTTTGTTTGATGGCAGTAGTTTTGAGTACAATGTGAGTTTGTTTGCTGTCAGTGGTTTTGAGTACAATGTGAGTGTGTTTGATGTCAGTGTCAGTGATTTTGAGTACAATGTGAGTTTGTTTGAAGTCAGTGATTTTGAGTACAATGTGAGTTTGTGTGATGTCAGTGGTTTTGAGTGCAATGGGAGTTTGTTTGATGTCAGTGGTTTAGAGTACAATGTGAGTGTGTTTGATGTCAGCAGTTTTGAGTACAATGTGAGTTTGTTTGAAGTCAGTGATTTTGAGTACAATGTGAGTTTGTGTGATGATGTCAGCGGTTTTGAGTACAATGTGAGTTTGTATGATGTCAGTGATTTTGAGTACAATGCGAGTTTGTTTGATGTTAGTGATTTAAGGACAATGTGAGTTTGTTTGATGTCAGAGGTTTTAAGTACAATGTGAGTTTGTTTGCTGTCAGTGGTTTTGAGTACAATGTGAGTGTGTTTGATGTCAGTAGTTTTGAGTACAATGTGAGTTTGTTTGCTGTCAGTGGTTTTGAGTACAATGTGAGTTTGTATGATGTCAGTGATTTTGAGTACAATGCGAGTTTGTTTGATGTTAGTGATTTAAGGACAATGTGAGTTTGTTTGATGTCAGTGATTTTGAGTACAATGTGAGTTTGTTTGATGTTAGTGATTTAAGTACAATGTGAGTTTGTTTGATGTCAGTGGTTTTGAGTACAATGTTGGTTTGTTTGATGTCAGTGATTTTAAGTACAATGTGAGTTTGTTTGATGTCAGTGGTTTTGAGTGCAATGTGAGTTTGTTTGATGTCAGTGATTTTGAGTACAATGGGAGTTTGTTTGATGTCAGTGATTTTAAGTACAATGTGAGTTTGTTTGATGTCAGTGATTTAAAGTACAATGTGAGTTTGTTTGATGTCAGTGGTTTTAAGTACAATGTGAGTTTGTTTGATGTCAGTGGTTTTGAGTACAATGTGAGTTTGTTTGATGTCAGTGATTTTGAGTACAATGTGAGTTTGTGTGATGTCAGTGGTTTTGAGTACAATGGGAGTTTGTTTGATGTCAGTGGTTTGGAGTACAATGTGAGTGTGTTTGATGTCAGTGGTTTGGAGTACAATGTGAGTTTGTTTGATGTCAGTGATTTTAAGTACAATGTGAGTGTGTTTGATGTCAGTGATTTTGAGTACAATGTGAGTTTGTTTGATGTCAGTGGTTTTGAGTACAATGTGAGTTTGTTTGATGTCAGTGATTTTGAGTACAATGTGAGTTTGTGTGATGTCAGTGGTTTTGAGTACAATGTGAGTTTGTTTGATGTCAGTAGGTTTGAGTACAATGTGAGCTTGTTTGATGTCAGTGATGTTGAGTACAATGTGAGTTTGTTCGATGTCAGTTGTTTTGAGTACAATGTGAGTTTGTTTGATGTCATTGGTTTGGAGTACAATGTGAGTGTGTTTGATGTCAGTAGTTTTAAGTACAATGGGAGTTTGTTTGATGTCAGTAGTTTTGAGTACAATGTGAGTTTGTTTGACGTCAGTGATGTTGAGTACAATGTGAGTTTGTTTGATGGCAGTAGTTTTGAGTACAATGTGAGTTTGTTTGATGGCAGTAGTTTTGAGTACAATGTGAGTTTGTTTGACGTCAGTGATGTTGAGTACAATGTGAGTTTGTTCGATGTCAGTTGTTTTGAGTACAATGTGAGTTTGTTTGATGTCCGTGATTTTGAGTACAATGTGAGTTTGTGTGATGTCAGTGGTTTTGAGTACAATGGGAGTTTGTTTGATGTCAGTAGTTTTGAGTACAATGTGAGTTTGTTTGACGTCAGTGATGTTGAGTACAATGTGAGTTTGTTCGATGTCAGTTGTTTTGAGTACAATGTGAGTTTGTTTGATGGCAGTAGTTTTAAGTACAATGTGAGTTTGTTTGATGTCAGTTGTTTTGAGTACAATGTGAGTTTGTTTGATGTCAGTGATTTTGAGTACAATGTGAGTGTGTGATGTCAGTGATGTTGAGTACAATGTGAGTTTGGTTTGCAGTGCTAACCTGATGAGTATCTTACTGAACCTGCTGGAGAGCTCCGTCACCATACAACAACAGATGTTACAGAACAAGGGATTCCTGGTCATTGGTTATCTCCTGGAAAAGGTATACTCTAAATCATTGTAACAGACAATATCTGTAGGATATCCAAAGATATAGTTGGTTGAGTGCTGAAGCCAGAATATTTGCCTTGCTTTAAAAAACAAATATACATAAAATCACTAATTACATGTTAAAATTACAATGAAATTACTACAATAGTATCCGTTAAAATTGATCTCTCAACACTGATGGTCTCTTAAACTCATAATGAACCATTCCAACCTTTGAATTGGAAGTTAAAAATGTGTCTTCATGGGTGGATGAGCTAATAGAGGTGGTCGCATGGACAGGTTTGACTGTTTATGAAATGTTCAAACGTTTCTCAATTTTCGTATGAATTCAGTATCATGAGCGAGGAATTCTACTTGATATCCAAAAAAGATGTTGACTACAAGCAAAATCCAGGATTTTTGTCCCATCTTAAACAAATAAAACAGAGTTTTCAGTAAATTTTACTATTGTAGAATAGTGATTTCCTCTGTATACATAATGTATACAAAAACATGATTAATTATTGTTTACATTTCAGGCGTCTCGGATGCATGTGACTCCAGCCGTCCTGGAGACCTTTTTGGCCCTCACACAGTATCTGGTAGAACTACCCACCGGTAGCATGCTCCTCAAACACCTGTTTGACCACATTTTATTCAACCCTGCCCTGTGGATTCATGCCTCGGTAGAGGTAAGTAACCATCCTCAAACACCTGTTCATCCATTGTACTTTTCAATCCTGCACTGTAAATTCATTTTCTGTTGAGGTAAGTAACCAACATCAAACATTTGTTTGACCCAGATGTGTGGATACACTTCTGTAGAGGTTACAGTAAGTAAATGGCCTCAAACACCTATTAGACCCTGATCTGTGGATATATAAAAGAGGTTCCAGTAAGTAGCTGACATCAAACACCTGTTTGACCCAGAACTGTGTTTACATTTCTGTATAGGTCAGTGTCTCTTGTTTCAAGTATATCTGCACTGTCAGTTTTGTTTCCAGGTATTCTTTCTCATGTCGTAATATAAAGTGAAGCCTCATTCCAGATAACCTTAATGGAATAGAAAACAGCTAAACTACTGGGGCAGCCCATAGTATCATTTGTCAAATCTGTAATGAAAGCAAAATATCCTGTTAAATGATTTCTGTTAAAATTAACAGAAAAATGCTTTCCTTTATTTAAGAGATACCTTCCATTAAATATAATACAAAATTTCAAATGTAATTTTTTTTTACAGGTGCAGACCAAATTGTACTGTTACCTAGCAACCGATTTCATCAGTAATGCCCAGATCTACAACAACATTCGCCGAGTGAGCGCAGTTCTACAGACGATGCACACCCTCAAGTTCTACTACTGGGTCGTCAACCCCAAGGATCGGAGTGGCATCACACCCAAGGGCACAGGTCAGGGGTCAACTGTCTCTAAGGTCTATGGACAGACACGCCTGTCTATATGTACCACCCAAGCTTACTCATATAGACAGGAAACATTTGGGGAACTGATTTTAAAAATGTTCAGTCCAATCTACTTAAGATGAATTCAGATAAGACAATCACACTTTCATGGTCTCCAGGGATTCTTCTTATCCAGCTTCCACTGATATTGAAGACTGGTTGTTGTTATAGACAGGTGGTACATATAGACAGGTTGTAGCTATCGTTAAGTATACATGTATATAGATTTGGTTTATTTACCTCCAGAATACTTTTTAAAAATTACTTAAAGGTATACATATTTAATTAATCAACAATTAGATTGTTGTTTAATTGTTACCCCCATAGGAATTTCACCAAATATTATAAACAGTATATTATATAATCTAACTTAGTTTTGATGGGTGTATTAAGATTAGATTTGTACCCAGCAGGGTCCTACCTGACAGGTCGGTGTTCTAGTTCATCTGTTAACTATGGAATATAAAATGAAGGTAAAGAACGGTAAATTATCAAAGAAAAATATTTTGAATTTGTCTGTTAAATGAAATGGAATACCAATGTAAGTTGTTCTGTTACAGATGGGCCACGGCCAACTTACGACGAGATTATCAAATTACGTTCCTTCATGCTGCTGTACATTAAACAGCTGTTGCTTAAAGGTCAGGGAGTCCAAGAGGACGAGTTACAGAGCATCCTCAACTACATGTCCACACTTCACGAGGTATACACAGCACTGTTCTATATATTTTGGCAATATTTAAGCCTACTGGGGTAATAATAGAAAGGACTTCAGAAGATATTTCATTCTTCAGTAATAAAGAAAAAAAATAAGGAGAGATGTTTTAGTCCGTTCAATATGCTGATATTAGTTTCTGGAGAACAGTGGAAGGTCAAGATCATATGTTCAAGGTCAAGGGCACAGCTACAATAATGGTAAAAATGGGGTAAAATATGATTTACTCATGAATGCATGGACATGCCAATTTTACCATCATATTAGAAATATGTAGCTGTGACCTTGACCTTCAACATATCACCCCATTACATCATGTTTTAAATACATGTATGATATAATGAAGTCAGTTTTACTGTGGATATTTACCTACCTGAAGATATGTTTTACCTGTAGATAATTACCAACCTGAAGATATGTTTTACCTGTAGATGATTACCTACCTGAAGATATGTTTTACCTGTAGATCATTTACCTGAAGATATGTTTTACCTGTAGATAATTACCAATATGAAGATATGTTTTACCTGTAGATAATTACCAGCCTGAAGATATGTTTTACCTGTAGATAATTACCAATCCGAAGATATGTTTTACCTGTAGATAATTACCAGCCTGAAGATATGTTTTACCTGTAGATAATTACCAACCTGAGGATATGTTTTACCTGTAGATAATTACCAGCCTGAAGATATGTTTTACCTGTAGATAAGTACCTACCTGAAGATACCTTTTACCTGTAGATAATTACCTACCTGAGGATATGTTTTATATGTAGATCATTACCAACCTGAAAATATGTTTTACCTGTATACAATTACCTTCAAGGATATGTTTTACCTGCAATTTTGTACCTGTAGGATGACAATCTGATGGACGTACTTCAGTTGACGGTGTCCCTGATGGCAGAACACCCAGCCTCCATGGTGCCCTCCTTCGACAAGAAAAACGGCATCAGGTAATTTGTCAAGTGAAAATCTGTTGGAAATGCAGGGCCCCAAGTAATCATGGTGTACATCTGTTTGTTCCCTCTTTAATCCGAAGAATATCTCGTAAACCGAAATACTAATGTTTCTGAAAATTACCATGGTGATACTCTGTGATATGAAGATGTGCAATAAGGGTTTAAAAAGTTTTTAAGGTCAAGGATACAGTTACTGAAAACGGACTAGGGGGATTTGGGGGGTCGGTTAGGCACATGGCAGGACCCTTGCTGACCTGTCAGTGTATTAGTTAAACTTGCCCTTGTACTTAAGGGCAAAGAAATCTGGAACTTCTGAAGTTTTTTACTGTTACAGTGAAACCGGAATTGACCAACACACTGCAGTCATATTCGAACAAAAAAATAGCTCAGTCACTTCTGATGTTGGTATAGTCCTGGTATAAGACAAAAAAAATGTTTTTCTTGGGCCGTAAAATCATATTTGATTTAAATATAAGGAGGCGGACCTATTGATCTATTTTTAAATGTAGCATTGAAATGGAAAAATACCCTGTAAAATAAATAAAGTTTATATAATTTCAAAATATTTTACATAATTTGGTGAATGTTTGGTATTTGTTTTAGGACCGTGTTTAAACTGCTGGCATCAAATTCAGAACCACTGCAAATTCAGTCCCTCAAACTCCTCGGCTTTTTCCTTATGAGGGCCACACACAAGTAAGTGAAGCTTCGATTAGGTAATTTTCGTCACAGCATTATTTTCCGGGCTTTCACAATATCATATATCCACAAACTCAACACTACAGCAAACATGTCTCGTAAAGTAATGCTATATACCAGTCTAACATGGTGTATGATATGCAGTGTAGTAATTTTCCTCATCTTGATATATTTGCTATTATTGTAGAGAGTGCGTTTCAAGGATCAAATAGTTGAGAAAACAAGTGAAAATAATATAAGGAAGAATTGGACACTGAACATCACAATTGTTTGAATAAATGCTCAATTACGAATTATCTCCCCTTTTTTACAGGATTTTAATTCCAGATAGATAAGGCCAAATAAAATTAATTACTTGGTTCTCAGGCCAATTTTATTTAAAAGAGATGCGTTTTTTTTTCATTTTACATGGCAAAAATGAGACAAGGGCATTTTTTTTATTGTGTAGTTTGTAAAACGTTCATTGTGGTCATTACCTTGTCTTTTTATAGTTGTGTAGAGACCCGTCATAGAGCAAGCCTCCGAAAATCCCCCCACGTTGTTCCAGACGAGAATCACGAACCCCCCATTCCTTATTTGTACCGAAATGAGGGCCATTTGTACACAAGACTAATAAGTCATAATCATTTTGCCTGTATATCAATCCTTATCTTTATTCGAACGTTTTCGGGACTTGGGTGACTAACGAGTAAAAACGACATGCGGACCAATTTCCAGATATTTTTAAAGACTGCGGCTGGCGCATTCACGATTTTTTTTTTTATTACTTAAAATTGGCAATGCGGTGCCCTAAAATGAAATGCGCGCGGGCCTGAGAATCAAGTAATCAATTTGTTTTGGCCTAATTAACCTGCTGACATTAAACGTTGACATATAGTTGTGTTATTGTTGTTGCAGATCATACCGCATGTCCCGGCATTACCAAAAACTACACAAACAAATAAACAAACAGTAGGAGGACTACATTTACATTACAACATCTTCCTCTTTCTACTCTCTCCCTCTCTCTGCTGTCAACACTACACAAACCTTACTCTCTGTCTATATTCAGTCACTGAATATCAAAACTTCTACAAATTCATCTTTTGTTTCCTCTGTCTTCAACATGCATCATTCATTCTTTTTTATGTTCATTCATCAAGATTTAAATTTCTTAATATTCCAATCACAAAATATCAAACTATCATACACACAATATCAAACGTGAAATATCAAACACAATACATGTATATCAAATATGTTACAGTCTCACATATACAGTCAAACCTACTCATACAACCTCCTCCATACAGAAACCACCTGTGTTAAGAGGCCACTTCATTGTTCCCCATTGTAGCAATTTCATTGTAAATTGAACCTGCATTAAGGGTCCACTTTCTGGATTCTAAGTTTCGTTCTCTTGATACATGTTTATTTTATTGTTTGAATTCCTTTCTGCCTGTTAAACAATGTGATAATCGAATGTCAATGTGACTGGACACTTATCAGTTGCCTTTTCATACCTAAAGGCTGTGTCTTTATTTGATGTAGATCATCAAACAATGTTACCTATATATGGGTGTTAACTGAGAAATAATGATCTAACACTGAGATGTATACTTCAATTGGATGTAAAATAATACCAATCATGAACAATTTCATTTCTCTTCATCAATGGTTACCTCCCTTTATCATCAATGGTTACCCTTTTATGAACAGTGGTTACCTCCCTTTATCAACATGTTGCCAACTTGCTATTATTAAGTGTGTGGTTCTAGGTGCACAATAATTTATTTATGACTGTCACAGTAAAATGTTAATAAAATTATGTGTATATCAATCTTGTAATAGAATTATATCTACATATATGTTTTACCAATGATCCTAAGTGTTTGATTTTAAATGTTTACCTGACTTTGACAGTGATTTAGTAACAGCTTCAGTTTAAAAAAATCGTATTTTATGTTGTACCTTTTGTAACCTCAGAGTATCTTCGAAGCATGCAATCTTATAAGCGCCCTAATTTCAACCTTACAATATGTCTGGTAATTAACAGGAGGAAGGCTGACTGTATGGGCCCACACAACCTCTTCTCTCTGATTGGTGAACGGCTGATGCTGAATGAGCAGAGTATCACATTACCTGTATATAACGTCTTGTTTGAGGTGAGTACAGGTAACGAGTATCACACTACCTGTGTAAAACGGCTTGTTTGAGGTGAGTACAGGTAACGAGCATCACACTACCTGTGTATAACGTCTTGTTTGATGTGAGTACAGGTAACGAGTATCACACTTCCTGTGTATAACGTCTTGTTTGAGCTGAGTACAGGTAACGAGTATCACACTACCGGTGTATAAAGTCTTTTTTGATGTGAGTACAGGTAACGAATATCACACTACCTGTGTAAAACGTCTTGTTTGATGTGAGTACAGGTAACGAGTATCACACTACCTGTGTATAAAGTCTTGTTTGAGCTGAGTACAGGTAACGAGTATCACACTACCTGTGTAAAACGTCATGTTTGAGGTGAGTACAGGTAACGAATATCACATTACCTGTGTAAAACGTCTTGTTTGAGGTGAGTACAGGTAACAAGTATCACATTACCTGTGTATAACGTCTTTTTCGATGTGAGTACAGGTAACGAATATCACACTTCCTGTGTATAACGTCTTGTTTGAGGTGAGTACAGGTAACGAATATCACACTACCTGTGTATAACGTCTTGTTTGAGCTGAGTACAGGTTACGAATATCACACTACCTGTGTATAACGTCTTTTTCGATGTGAGTACAGGTAACGAATATCACATTACCTTTGTATAACGTCTTGTTTGAGCTGAGTACAGGTAACGAGTATCACACTCCCGGTGTATAACGTCTTTTTCGATGTGAGTACAGGTAACGAATATCACACTACCTGTGTATAACGTCTTGTTTGATGTGAGTACAGGTAACGAGTATCACACTACCTGTGTATAGCATCTTGTTTGAGGTGAGTACAGGTAACGAGTATCACACTACCGGTGTATAACGTCTTGTTTGATGTGAGTACAGGTAACGAGTATCACACTACCTGTGTAAAACGTCTTGTTTGATGTGAGTACAGGTTACGAGTATCACACTACCTGTGTATAACGTCTTGTTTGAGCTGAGTACAGGTAACGAGTATCACGCTACCGGTGTATAACGTCTTTTTCGATGTGAGTACAGGTAACGAATATCACACTACCTGTGTAAAACGTCTTGTTTGATGTGAGTACAGGTAACGAGTATCACACTACCTGTGTATAGCATCTTGTTCGAGGTGAGTACAGGTAACGAGTATCACACTACCGGTGTATAACGTCTTGTTTGAGGTGAGTTCAGGTAACGAGTATCACACTACCTGTGTATAACGTCTTGTTTGAACTGAGTACAGGTAACGAATATCACGCTACCTGTGTATAACGTCTTGCTTGATGTGAGTACTGGTAACGAATATCACGCTACCTGTTTATAAGGTTTTGTTTGAGGTGAGTACAGGTGTTTTATAGTGTGTAATGGTCTCTATTTGATGTCATTGCTATTTTTTAGACAAATTATTAACAATGTTTATCTTAGATTGTACATTTTCTTGTTGCAGCTGCTGACAGAGCGCTTGTCTGGTGACAGTGTGATGAAGAAACATGTGGAGCCAGAGTCATATTTTAGGATAGAAAACTCAGGTGGGTGTTTAACCAAACTAGATCACACTACCTGTGTAAAACGTCATGTTTGAGGTGAGTACAGGTGTTTTATAGTGTGTAATGGTCTCTAGTTGATGTCATTGCTATTTTTTAGACAAATTATTAACAATGTTTATCTTAGATTGTACATTTTCTTGTTGCAGCTGCTGACAGAGCGCTTGTCTGGTGACAGTGTGATGAAGAAACATGTGGAGACAGAGTCATATTTTAGGATAGAAAACTCAGGAGGGTGTTTAACAAAACTAGCCTATAGAAAACGAGGATAGAAAACTTAGGTGGGTGTTTAACCAAACTAGCGTATAGAAAACTAGGAAAAAAAACTCAGGTGGATTTTTACCAAAACTAGCCTATAGAAAACGAGGATAGAAAACTTAGGTGGGTGTTTAACCAACCTAGCCTATAGAAAACTAGGATAGAAAACTCAGGTGGATGTTTAACCAAACTAGCCAATAGAAAACTGGGATAGAAAACTCAGGTGGGTGTTTAACAAAACTAGCCTATAGAAAACTAGGATAGAGAATTAAGGTGGGTGTTAACAAAACTAGCCTATAGAAAACTGGGATAGAAAACTCAGGTGGGTGTTTACCAAAACTAGCCTATAGAAAACTAGGATAGAAAACTCAGGTGGGTGTTTAACAAAACTAGCCTATAGAAAACTGGGATAGAAAACTCAGGTGGATGTTTACCAAAACTAGCCTGTAGAAAACTGGGATAGAAAACTCAGGTGGATGTTTAACCAAACTAGCCTATAGAAAACTAGGATAGAAAACTCAGGTGGATGTTAACAAAACTAGCCTATAGAAAACTGGGATAGAAAACTCAGGTGGGTGTTTAACAAAACTAGCCTATAGAAAACTAGGATAGAAAACTCAGGTGGGTGTTTAACAAAACTAGCCTATAGAAAACTGGGATAGAAAACTCAGGTGGATGTTTACCAAAACTAGCCTGTAGAAAACTGGGATAGAAAACTCAGGTGGATGTTTAACCAAACTAGCCTATAGAAAACTAGGATAGAAAACTCAGGTGGATGTTAACAAAACTAGCCTATAGAAAACTGGGATAGAAAACTCAGGTGGGTGTTTAACAAAACTAGCCTATAGAAAACTAGGATAGAGAACTCAGGTGGGTGTTAACAAAACTAGCCTATAGAAAACTGGGATAGAAAACTCAGGTGGGTGTTTACCAAAACTAGCCTATAGAAAACTGGGATAGAAAACTCAGGTGGATGTTTAACCAAACTAGCCTATAGAAAACTAGGATAGAAAACTCAGGTGGATGTTAACAAAACTAGCCTATAGAAAACTGGGATAGAAAACTCAGGTGGGTGTTTAACAAAACTAGCCTATAGAAAACTAGGATAGAAAACTCAGGTGGGTGTTAACAAAACTAGCCTATAGAAAACTGGGATAGAAAACTCAGGTGGGTGTTTACCAAAACTAGCCTGTAGAAAACTGGGATAGAAAACTCAGGTGGATGTTTAACCAAACTAGCCTATAGAAAACTAGGATAGAAAACTCAGGTGGATGTTAACAAAACTAGCCTATAGAAAACTGGGATAGAAAACTCAGGTGGGTGTTTACCAAAACTAGCCTGTAGAAAACTGGGATAGAAAACTCAGGTGGATGTTTAACCAAACTAGCCTATAGAAAACTAGGATAGAAAACTCAGGTGGATGTTAACAAAACTAGCCTATAGAAAACTGGGATAGAAAACTCAGGTGGGTGTTTAACAAAACTAGCCTATAGAAAACTAGGATAGAGAACTCAGGTGGGTGTTAACAAAACTAGCCTATAGAAAACTGGGATAGAAAACTCAGGTGGGTGTTTACCAAAACTAGCCTATAGAAAACTAGGATAGAAAACTCAGGTGGGTGTTTAACAAAACTAGCCTATAGAAAACTGGGATAGAAAACTCAGGTGGATGTTTACCAAAACTAGCCTGTAGAAAACTGGGATAGAAAACTCAGGTGGATGTTTAACCAAACTAGCCTATAGAAAACTAGGATAGAAAACTCAGGTGGATGTTAACAAAACTAGCCTATAGAAAACTGGGATAGAAAACTCAGGTGGGTGTTTAACAAAACTAGCCTATAGAAAACTAGGATAGAGAACTCAGGTGGGTGTTAACAAAACTAGCCTATAGAAAACTGGGATAGAAAACTCAGGTGGGTGTTTACCAAAACTAGCCTATAGAAAACTGGGATAGAAAACTCAGGTGGATGTTTAACCAAACTAGCCTATAGAAAACTAGGATAGAAAACTCAGGTGGATGTTAACAAAACTAGCCTATAGAAAACTGGGATAGAAAACTCAGGTGGGTGTTTAACAAAACTAGCCTATAGAAAACTAGGATAGAAAACTCAGGTGGGTGTTAACAAAACTAGCCTATAGAAAACTGGGATAGAAAACTCAGGTGGGTGTTTACCAAAACTAGCCTATAGAAAACTAGGATAGAAAACTCAGGTGGGTGTTTAACAAAACTAGCCTATAGAAAACTGGGATAGAAAACTCAGGTGGATGTTTACCAAAACTAGCCTATAGAAAACTGGGATAGAAAACTCAGGTGGATGTTTAACCAAACTAGCCTATAGAAAACTAGGATAGAAAACTCAGGTGGATGTTAACAAAACTAGCCTATAGAAAACTGGGATAGAAAACTCAGGTGGGTGTTTAACAAAACTAGCCTATAGAAAACTAGGATAGAAAACTCAGGTGGGTGTTTAACAAAACTAGCCTATAGAAAACTAGGATAGAAAACTCAGGTGGGTGTTTACCAAAACTAGCCTATAGAAAACTAGGATAGAAAACTCAGGTGGGTGTTTAACAAAACTAGCCTATAGAAAACTAGGATAGAAAACTCAGGTGGGTGTTTACCAAAACTAGCCTATAGAAAACTAGGATAGAAAAATCAGTTGGGTGTTTACCAAAACTAGCCTATAGAAAGCTGGGATACAAAACTGAGGTGGGTGTTTACAAAAACTAGCATTTAGAAAACTGGGATAGAAAACTGAGGGGAGTGTTCATCAAAACTAGCCTATAGAAAACTAGGATGGAAATCACAGGTTGGTGTTCACCAAAACTAGCCTATAGAAACTTGAGGTGGGTGTTTACCAAAACTAGCCTATAGAAACTTGAGGTGGGTGTTCACCAAAACTAGCCTATAGAAAACTAAGATAGAAAACTCAGTTGGGTGTTTACCAAAACTAGCCTAAATATCTTTAAGGATCAGACATGAGGTTAACTTACTTGCTTTATTTATTCCAAACTATGATCCTTAGTATATTTGAAAGCAAAAATGGTTGCTCAACGACCTACCAGTCATCCTTTAATATCAATTTTATTGCATCTAGCATAAATTTTACAAACATTATGATTGAAATGTCTTTTGCAATTACAGCTGTCCTGAAGGTGGTGGCTACAATGATTCGCCAGTCAAAGCCAACATCAGAGGTCGCAGAGGTCAAGAAGACATTCCTATCAGATCTGACAATCCTGTGTAACAACAATCGGGAAAATAGGAGGTAAGGCATTCTATTTAGGTTAGGGAAGCCTTGCTAGTAGATATCTATAGTTAAGGGAAGCCCAATTAGTGGATATCTAGATTATAGTATCATATTTAGTGGACATCAAGATTAGGGCATCTGTTGTCGTAGTTATTTAGATAAGTGTACGTAGTTAGTGGATATCTAGATTTGGGCCGACACCATTGTTGATGTCTTGGTAAGGACAGTCTCAATAGTTGATATATAGGTTTGGTGTCCTTCATTGTAGATATCAAGGAATTGTAAAGTATAAATACACTGTGTTGAATCTATAGAGGAGAAGTTTATTAAAACAATTTAAAGGGTTTTTAGAGAACATCTAAATGGGATTATTTCCATGCATTTTTGTATCCATTAATGGTCTGGAATCAGAATACATGTACAATTTCTTATTTAACACAAAACAAACACAGGGTCAAGACAGGATTAGACTTCCAAACATTTTGTCCTTAGAGCAATTATATCCTGCCCTTTCATCATTGAACTGCTGTAAAACTTTGACTTGATGGACTGTTGTAATTCCTATAGTGTAATGATATTTTGTTTGTCCTACAGGACAGTCCTACAGATGTCTGTGTGGCAGGACTGGCTGTTCTCCCTATCCTACATATATTCGCGTAACGACGAGGAACGGAAAATTACAGATATGGTCATGTCATTGTTCCGGATGCTGCTACATCACGCTATCAAATTTGAGTATGGTGGCTGGAGGGTGTGGATAGACACGCTGGCCATACTCCACTCTAAGGTGAGTACAGTGGCTTGAGGGTGTGGATAGACATGCTGGCCATGCTCCACTCTAAGGTGAGTATGGTTGCTGAAGGGTATGGATAGACTCGCTGGCCATACTCCACTCTAAGGTGAGTACAGTGACTGGATGGTGTGGATAGACACGCTGGCCATGCTCCACTCTATGGTGAGTACGGTGGCTGGAAGGTGTGGATAGACACGCTGGCCATGCTCCACTCTAAGGTGAGTACAGTGACTGGACGGTGTGGATAGACACGCTGGCCATGCTCCACTCTATGGTGAGTACGGCGGCTGGAAGGTGTGGATAGACACGCTGGCCATGCTCCCCTCTAAGGTGAGTACAGTGACTGGACGGTGTGGATAGACACGCTGGCCATGCTCCACTCTAAGGTGAGTACGGTGACTGGACGGTGTGGATAGACATGCTGGCCATGCTCCACTCTATGGTGAGTATGGTGGCTGGAAGGTGTGGATAGACACGCTGGCCATGCTCCACTCTAAGGTGAGTACGGTGGCTGGACAGTGTGGATAGACACGCTGGCCATACTCCACTCAAAGGTGAGTATGGTGGCTTGAGGGTGTTTATGGACACACTGGCCATACTCCACTCTAAGGTGAGTATGATTATATTTCTACATTTTGTCTGTAGACACAATTTAGTCCAAACTCCTCCTCCAGAACTGCTGCATAGATTTGAAATATTTTTTGTCCACTCTTATCAGTTTGCTTGTTAGTAGTTACTAGGCAATGTATTTTTCATTTAGAACAGTACTAGACTTTTACAATCAAATTAGTCCTGAAGAGGTTTAAGTATATTAGTTAGCCTGCAGATTACGCTGTTCTAGTTGTGTAAAAAAGACTGGAGGGTGTAAAACATACTTCCAATTTTGTACACTTTCTAAAGACTGGATCCCCTGGTATTTATCAGATGTGTCTATGGTCAACACGTGTCATAGGTCAATTTTATGGGTGAATTTTATAGGTCAACATATCATTGGTCAATGTGTCGTATAGGTCAGTTTAATGACATATAAGGTATTCTGGTATTGAATTTTGACTTTTTACAGGTTGCTTACGAGGATTTCAAAATCCACATGTCAAAGATGTACCGTCAGTATGACCAGCAGCGAGTTGACGATGTTGATCCACAAGAAAGACAGAATTACCCAATCAGCACTATCTCCGGCATATCTGACCCTGCCCTCCAGGAACAGCAGACGCAAATCAAAAGCTCCGTCCAGATCAAAGAAGTGGAAAAGTCCAGTACAGAAGAAACTAAACAAGAAGAAAAACCTGAAACAATACAAAATGGTGATGCTGAAGGTCATCAGAAGGATGAAGAAGGGAAAGTGGAGAAAGCAGAAGGGGATGGGGAGGCATCAGAGGACCTAAAAGAGGATGGAAAAACATCAGAAGAAATGAAGGCACCAGCAACTAATGCTAAAGATGATGCTGCAGCTGGTGCCAAATCGGAGGAGGTACCTGACGAGAAAATTAGTGACATTCCAAGGGGGATAAGTACCACTGGTGTCAGGAGGAACCCCTCTAGGGCACAGTCATTCCGGGGCAGCATGGAATCCCATGGCAACAGACATGTGTTCAGCCCCGGTCCCCGGGCCCCACCCTTCAGGATCCCTGAGTTCAGGTGGTCAGGACTTCACCAGAAACTTCTGTCAGATCTTCTCTTTTCTGTAGAGACCGACCTCCAGGTCTGGAAAAGGTAACTATGATTGCCTTCTGGGGATTTCTAGGTTGGGAAGTGATACTGAATCTTTTTTGATATTGAGGGGGTTTAATGTCGAAGTGGAAATTAGGGGTGGAGGGGGAGGGGGGGTCATTTAGGTGAAAATCGGAATAAAGTTGGTATATTAATTTTTTTCTTTTTGTGTAATATTTTGCAAGTGAGATTTTATTATTTAATTGGGAAGAGCACTTTTAATCCTTCTTATTTTAATGATAAGGGCTCTGATAATGAAGGTTTTTCCTACTTGAGAGGAAATATGTTTATACAATACTATACCACCGTTTGATGTAGCTTTTCTATGATGGCCCATATTTTTCCTTGACAGATTATCAATTGAAAGAGTGGTTTTTTTTAAATGATGTAAATAGATTTGTTTAAATGAGTTTCTTAAATAAAAAATACAGTGAAACCTGTCTAATCTGACACTGTTTGAGACTCATTATATTGGTCAGATTAGAGAGGATGTCGGAATATATCGGGGTTTTGGTAATTTTTCAATAAAAAATGGAAATACAACCTGCTGGATAAGACAGGTTTCACTGTAGCCCGATATTTTCTTCTTTTTGTCACAAGAAAAGTTTTAGTTGATAGGTAGTATAGCTCACTAATATAATGATAATATAATGGTTGCTTACAGCCACAGTACAAAGACAGTGATAGACTTTGTCAACTCCGGAGACAACCACGTGTACGTCGTTAACGTCACCCACATGATCTCACAGCTCGCCGATAATCTGATCACGTCCTGTGGAGGGTTACTTCCCTTGTTAGCAGCTGCCACCTCTCCAAACGTAAGTTTCACTTCGATGATACATTACCACACTAAGGAAAAATACTTCTGTGTGGCATATTTTAAATCTAGATTTATTGCAAACCATAAACTTTATTTCTTATTTTTGTCCGTAAAAGTTTTGGTAAATTTACTTTTTCATGTTCTATGAAATATATTTGTGAATTAAATTATTGTGAGAATATTTAGAGATGGTTAAACATGGAACATATTTCATTTTTTTCTTTTCTTGAATTAAACTCCTTCAAAGAAAACAATAGTAAGCACAATCAAATAAAGAAATATAAACAAAATTTAAGTGCGTTAGAATAATTCATCATCCAAAAGTTGCATATTTGTACTTAACCCTTTCACCCCTATGTAACTTTAGTAGACTCTACCATGCATTGATATGGATGAGTCCATTATGGTCTACAGTAATGAAAGGGTTAAAACTGCATACATTTTGTATATCTCAAGTAATGTATGCTCTTTCCATATGGTGAAGTAGATTAATGCAAGTAGAATAAAAATAAAATTTTGAACACAGGGCCACCATTTTCCATGTCCATCTCTTGTAGTATGAGTTTGAGTGTCCCAGTTTCTGTTAGATACTGAACATTTTACATCCTTTCATCATGCCTGTGTATTTTAGGAGGGGGGGGGGGGGGGGGTTTNGAGCCCACCCAAGGCCTCAGTATATATCATGCCTGTGTGTTTTAGGGGGAGGTGGAGATCTTGGAGCCCACCCAAGGCCTCAGTATATATCATGTCTGTGTGTTTTAGGGGGAGGTGGAGATCTTGGAGCCCACCCAAGGCCTCAGTATATATCATGCCTGTGTAGTTTAGGGGGATGTGGAGATCTTGGAGCCCACCCAAGGCCTCAGTATATATCATGCCTGTGTGTTTTAGGTGGAAGTGGAGATCTTGGAGCCCACCCAAGGCCTCAGTATATATCATGTCTGTGTGTTTTAGGGGGAGGTGGAGATCTTGGAGCCCACCCAAGGCCTCAGTATATATCATGCCTGTGTAGTTTAGGGGGATGTGGAGATCTTGGAGCCCACCNATGTGTTTTAGGGGGAGGTGGAGATTTTGGAGCCCACCCAAGGCCTCAGTATAGAGCAGGCAGTGTCCATCCTGCAGCGCATCATGAATATGATGGACGTCTTGGTGTTTGCAAGTTCCACAAATTTTGCTGAGCTGGAACAGGAGAAGAATATGCCGTCCGGTGGAATATTGAGACAATGTTTACGCCTGGGTAATATATATTTTAGTGTGATTTCATATAACATGAAATCATTTGCCATTGAATCACATAGCATCGCCTTCCAGTAAACATTCTAGTTTAAGTGCACTAAATTTTAGAGATTTTGAAATTTTAATAGATTAGTGCATTTATGAATTAGTGCATCAAGGAATTATGTAATAGAGAATAATATACATGTACAAGAACTTCAATGAGCACATTCATAATTATGCGCAATAATTACAGCGCAAAAAGCGCTTGGTAAGTCTACCTCTAAAATGTGTACGTTTACAGTATTTCATCTATCAAATAGCCTGAAGAGTACTGACAATTATGTATCGTACAGATTATAAGGTAGTCTGTGTGGACAATCTTCAAATTTCGAGTCTTCTGCTTACGATACACATATCTTCTCTTCACCCTTGAAATATGTCATGATAAAAGCATAGGCTTGTGGTTAACTATTTGTTTGGTTTTGGGTACAAAACTTTAAAAAAAATGTAAGACTGATACCTGTCCTTTGAAGATTACAGAGGAGCCGACACCCAACTTCAAAGCTGGTCAATTTTACAGTTACACTGCCGTGTGATTCCATCAATCTTCATCGAATACATTAGACTAGTCTCTTTGAATCGTCCTCAAGGTGTCACATAAAGACCTTCAATTTAGTCATGACATATTTCAGGGGTGCAGAGAAAATTTGTTTATAGAGAGCAGAACCTTGAATTTCTAATATGTTACTGACAAGTTTGATGATACAGTGCTGCCCTCTATAGAGAATTGCTTGCTACACAGATATTTCTGTTATGTTTATATGCTATCTTTCAGTTCTCCTAGCTTATCATAGAAAAATTTCATTAAGGAGGATCATATCACATTGAGATAGCTGATATCCTTCAGTACATTGTTAGTGCGATCAAAAACTGTCAAAAATTGTTTAACTTTCATAAAAACAACTGTCATTGTTTCTCCATTTGTAAAATGGTCCTTTGTTTTATCTTTAGTGTGTACATCGTCGGTGAGAAACTGTCTGGAGTGTCGACATCGTCAACGCCCCCACTCCCCACCCGGCAGTCCTACAAGTTCAAGTAGTCGTAGTTCACGCAACATGAACGGCCATGACCCTATACAGTCGCTGATCATGGCTTCACATCCCACTGAACGGGTAAGTTATTCAAGGTCTTAATTAGGAGAAACTCTAAAGGGATTGAATGACAATTTTCAATGTGCATGCCAGTATGAACGCTAGTCACTTGCATATATTCACCCTGAAGCCAGCTAATATAAGTTTTCCCTAATATTTGCGATATTGAGATGTCTGTAAGGTCAATGCAAATAGCATTCTGAATTTTCTAATAGCACCCAATTATTGATTCCTATACATTTTTGTATTACTGTAAGTATGATCACTATTTCTTAAACTTGTAGGAAGTTGGTCCTGTTTTTGGAATCAGCTTTTAATTAGCTTCATTTCTGATCTATCTTTGATTTAGAAATTAAGCGGCTGGGGGATCTGAGTTTCAGAGGCAATTTTTACCTAATGAGAAACTGAATTGAAAACTTGCTGTTCTGAGAGATAATGAATGCAAACAGGCTTTCTTGCTTGGGTGAAATTAAAATAAATTGTTTATTTTTAAGGAAAGTGATAAGTTTAAATGGTTTTTTTGAACAGTGATAATTTACTGAGCTGTTACCTCCATGGATTGAGATGCAATATAATTTACTGTTGTATGATTACAGAATATCATTGAAAATTTGAACGAGCAGACATCTCCTATCAAGGACTACGAAAAGCTTCTCCAAGATATGGACATTAATCGTCTCCGTGCAGTGGTGTATCGTGATGTCGAGGAAACAAAACAGGCACAGTTCCTAGCCCTGGCTATCGTCTATTTCACTTCTGTTCTGATGGTATCGAAATATCGAGACATCCTAGAACCACCAACCCCAGCGGCCACGCCAACTAGGAACTCTCACCGGCAGTCAATCAACTCGCCCTCAGGTAATCCCATACATACCTTACCTACCCTACCATCAGTGCCAGTCCATCAGCACACAGGTAATCTCCGTTATCCTTTGTTCTCATTGCCAGTCTGATGACTCACTTTGAGGTAATCCCCATGCATACTCCTTCCATGGGAGGTAACTGTATATACATAAAGTACGAGCGGTGGGACAGAGATCCTTACAGAAGTTAAAGGGAGGTAACTGTATATACATAAAGTACGAGCGCAGTGGGACAGAGATCCTTACAGAAGTTAAAGGGAGGTAATTGTATATACATAAAGTACGAGCGCGGTGGGACAGAGATCTTTACAAAAGTTAAAGGGAGGTAACTGTATATACATAAAGTACGAGTGCGGTGGGACAGAGATCTTTACAGAAGTTAAAGGGAGCTAACTGTATATACATAAAGTACGAGCGCAGTGGGACAGAGATCCTTACAGAAGTTAAATGGAGGTAACTGTATATACATAAAGTACGAGCACGCTGGGACAGAGATCTTTACAGAAGTTAAAGGGAGGCAACTGTATATACATAAAGTACGAGCACGGTGGGACAGAGATCCTTACAGAAGTTAAGGGAGGTAACTGTATATACATAAAGTACGAGCGCGGTGGGACAGAGATCCTTACAGAAGTTAAAGGGAGGTAACTGTATATACATAAGGTACGAGCGCAGTGGGACAGAGATCCTTAAAACAGACTTTGTATTGACTGCACTATACACTATTGAGCACTTTCCATAGATTATAGTACATTCCAGGGTGTTGGTTAACTATGTCTTTAACATCAAGGTTATAGGTCATCACAGATTTGCATTTTTCTTGCTTTCTGCTATTTTGGGAAATGGGTTCATTGAATAATGCGTTGTTTTCAGTTCATCTGTTTTTCTGTTCCTCGTACATTGTTTTCCAGATGAAAATTCACCAAAACCAGAACAGATTTTAAATAAACTTGATTTGAAAACTCTGGAAAAAGAAAATGTTTTGAAAATGCTCAATGAGATCATGGACAGCATTTCAATTCTTAAATTGGTGGTGAAAGTGTGGAATGTGACATTTGTTCCTGTGAATCATTGACTTTTTCCCCAGTAGTTCTTATATGAATAGTTTAAAGTTTACATCATTTTCATTAACAACACCATGATCTATCAGAACAAACTATTGTATATTGTTATTATTATCCTGACCCAGGGTCAAGGTCAGTATAGAGGTCAGAGATCAAATCACTATCTGTATTTATTTTTTGGATTTAAGTAATTTTTTCTTCACAAAACAATTTTGGTTAAAATAATTTTCTTATTCTCTTTTTTCCTTACCTTTTTATAAAGTGCTATGTCAGTGACAGCTACACTAGATTTGAACTATGGGGAAATTGACTTGTGTTCAGAATAAGGTTGTTGGAAAATTATTTTACAATGTATGTCATGTCTGTAAATCATCTTTCATGTAAGCTAAGCTAGTAGATTGTCTTACAATAGCAGCAAAATTTAAACTGTCAGCAGCTTAGCCATGTTAATAAACGGTTTTATGTTGTAAGTGATGTTGGTAAATCGTCTTAAATTATCAGCAGCTTAAGTTTTCTACGGTATATTAGTAAATTGATGTAAGCTAATAGCAGCTCAGCCACATTGACAAGTCGTCATCATTGTCACAGTCAGCCATGTTGGTAAATAATCTGAAATGATCAGCCATGTTGTTAAAACGTCTTACAGTGACAGCTTCAGACATACTTCAAAACTTACGACCACTGTTAATGGAGAGATCTTCCCATACCGACCTCAAATCTTTGTACTTGGAACAAAAGATTGTGAAAAGCTCGACAGACACCGGAAAAGGGGGCTCAGTCAAACCCTCGAACTCCAAACAGGGGTCCAAGAACATTGAGATTATTGCTGATGAGGGAGTAGGAATTCTAGCTCATATGTCAGCAGCCATTGTAGATGATGACTGTCATTTGGTGCAGGGCGATATACAGCAAGCCCATCAAGGCTCAGAGAATGACTCGGCTTGTGAAGCTGATCAGAACATCAAGACAACCTGCCAGGAAGCCAATCAGAATGAAGAGACTATTTCTGTGACCACCACACAGAGCAGCTTAGCCTCCCAGACTGGCTCCGTAGCAACCAACCAGAGTTGTGAGGAAAACGCCTCCTCGGAAACCAATCAGATGTCCGAGTCGGAAGGTCAGTTGGGGTCAACAGATGGCACCACGTCCACAGACGGCACGGTGTCAACAGAACAGTCCAAAGGTTCACGCTTTTCTGCTTGCATGTTCCTTGTTGTCACATTTTTAATTTGTAACATCCATGTGAATACAGTGTACTCTGTCTAAACCGGACTCTGTCCAATCCAGATTTTTGTCTAAACCAGCCAAAAAAAATTGATTTCGACATTGACAATGTTTGCTATATACACTCTACAATCCAGAACTCTCTGCGAACAAAACAAATTATGTGGTCCCATGGGTGTCTGGTTTAGACCGAGCACACTGTATATGTATCTTGTACCCAAACTGTGCTTTTAGCTTTACATTTTTTTTATGCATGTACATTGTAGAACAATTTCACTGATGTGTATTATGTTTTATTATGATTTTATTGATTTTAGTCTTGTATGCCATGATTTTACATTTTATTATTTTATTGATGTATATTTTAATTTTCTATATGTATGTTGTATTTTGACATTTTTTTCTGATATTAATTTTTCTTCTTTTGAACTTCATTACAGTATATTGCAATTGTATTTTACAAATTTGTGACCTTATTTTTTTAAGCTCAATGTCGATTTTAACAAGACATTCATGTGATGTTGTAAAAAAAATCTCAGACAGATTTCAAAGTTTGTGTACATACCACGCTGCAAGTGATACAAGTTGACTGGTCCAGAAACTGTCAAAGAATCCAGTAATACCTATGATCTCAGAATAGCTCTTTGATAATCTTCATAGAAGAGGCACCACTGTCCGGAACCAATCAAATAGCTAATCATGAGCCTTAGTTTCTTCTGTCTTACAGTATAATATGGAATACATCTTAGAACCTCATTTTCAGATGTTTACACATTTTAGAACTGAATTATTTTTGATATTATAACATTTGAGAAAAGGTAACTTCACTAAATTTGTTCCCTGAACTCTTAATGTTTCAGCGTATTTATTTGTCCTTTACTTTGTTATTTAACCTTGACTATGGAACATTTGACGTAGCAGAAGCTTTAAGTTTAATTTGCTGTAGATCTTATGCGTATGAGAAACTTTTAAAATGTTTTTGTTGTGCATTTGTACAAAAAATTGTGTAGAAATAAAATACGTTACTTTTGGCATGATATTCCACTGTATCACTGATAATTTTTTGGACTGTTTTTTATGCAATTTTTAATGTCATTTTCTAATGTGTTGTATAGTAGTTTTCTTATCTTCTGACAGTACACTGTAATTCAACATGCAGTCTGTTTGTCACTTTGGAGAGTTAAGCTATTGCCTACCTGAGCATATTTCTGCTGTTTAACAAACTCTATCTGCTCTCCGTAATAAAGATAAATGATCATGATGGTAAACATAAGTATACAGCCTACTAGGTATACAAAGATTTTCCTGTCTGGAGAGTGACATTAAGTTGGGTACATGAATATGTATTTTACTCTCATAGGGCAAATATTTTACTTGGTGAATATTTTTTTCAGCATACACTGTTTAAGGTTTTCTTTATAAAATTCATCATAAATTCATTCATTCAACTCACTTTGAAACACAATTGGAAAAAACTTGTGATAACAAAAATTAAAATGAATGAGATTGACATATTTGACAGGGATTTATCCATCTTGAATAAAAACTGGTCAGTGTAGTATAAACAAAATTTTTAATATTTGAAATTTCTTTAATACATTTTGTTTGTCTGTAATTTTTCAAGATTGTTTAAAATTGTTTATCAATGTAATGAATAATATTTGTCTAGATGAGGAGCTGGAGAGTGGAGAGGAAGTGGGGACCAGTGAGGGGGACCTCACACAGGAGATTACAGAGGAGGAAGAACAGGACGAGGAGGAACCCCAAGGGGAGCCCCTGCAGAACAATGTAGATGAGGAACCGCGTGAACGAGTCAAAATCAAGGCTGATATTCATATAACTGACTCCACAGGTAAAAACTACTGTGGGGTAACTGTGAGGGTGATAGTGTCGAAGATCTAAATCTGTCTGTCAATCCAAGAGGGCAATTATTGATGATGGAATTGTGGGAGAAATTTGTCAGGGTGATAGATTTGTAGATCTAAATCTGTGAGGGAAATAATGTGATGGAATCATTGGGAAAATGTATTCATGGTGATTTTGAGTAATGGAAGAATTCATTAAAAGTAATATTGTAGTGGAATTGCAGGAGAAAAGATTCCAGGAGAGAATTGTTCACAATGAAGTTAATGGAGGAATCAAAGCAGGTAACATGGTGGTTGATTAAGGAGATACCTTTCATGGAAAACGTTACTGATTGGGGGAAATTACTGGTGGAATTACGACAGATGGAGGGTAATGTTGGAGTTGAATTACAGGAGAAAGTTGTCGAAGGAAAGATTGAAGTAAAAAAGTAATATCTGAAGAAAATGTCATGGGGAGATTTATGGAAGAATTTCACAAAGTTAATAACATTTGTGAATTCAGAGACATATTTTGAAGAAAATGTGTTATGCAGTTGTAGGGAAACTATATTGATATGGTAGTGGAATAATGGGAGAAACATGATGATAGAGAATTTTATTATGAAATTATTCAAGAGGTTGATATTACAGAAACAAATTCTGCAGGCAGAAGTATTAGATTTGACAGCTTTATAAAGAAATCTTTTGCTTTTGCTCTGAACCATGTATTGCTTTAATTTTGATCATATCAATGATGTCTTAATCTGCTGCTTAAAACCTGTTCTCATGACAGGAAGTAGGATAGCATTGAGGAGATTTATAATAGCAAGATGACAAACCCAGTATCCATAACTGTAGTGTATTCATAAATTAGTGAACCATGTTAAATACATTCTTGTACAAAGTATAATTTAAGTATTATAAGTGGTGATATGTATTAAACTTGCTATACCCTCCTGGTATGAAAAACTTTATAATGTTAACTTGGGCCTGTTCGTTCATGCAGATCAACCGGTTTGTCTTATCTTTAAATGAAATATTTCAGGGGCAAAACCTAATGGACCTGCAAATGTTAATGCAGGCCTTTGAAATCTTTTCCTAGACTTGTTAGAAAACAATATCAAATCTTCATGTCCGTCCCTATTTCATAAACGAACAACTCTCATCCAATTAGTAGAGCTGTTTTGGACATGATAAACACAAACGACCCTGTAGATACCTGGGTATATGTTACATATATAAAACTGTTTATATTTCTCCTACAGCTGACAGAGTTATCTCCCCCTTTTAGCCTTGCAGAAATTTTTCAGGCTCACCATGTCGGTAGAGATATACTCACTTCCGATGATATCGTAGGTTCTGTGGTATCGCTTTACCAGATGTGTATGATGTTTGCGAATGCACTGGGCCAAATCTCAGTGCATACGCTGAGTGTGGTGAGCATTGAAAAGTTTTTGCTTGATCTATAATGTGAACAGATTCTTGGGATAAACACACTTCTATGAACGTTTACTACCGCGATACCATAGAACTCCAGGCAACATTAGCTTTCTTTACCTTCTTGTTAATAATTCATTTGCTTTATCGATAAGGTGTAGGAGAAATAATCACCTAATGATGACAGGGAAAATTTCAGGGTAGTTTACACCTCCCTGTTAATTATAGTTTGTCTTAATAAAGTGTAGGAGAAATTGATCCAGTCACTTCTCTGATGGAGACTGGGAATTCTCAACACAAGGTGCAAGATTTCTGATGTTCCGAAATGGCTAGATTTGTGACATATCTCACTCACCCCTCAGGTTTATGAATCAATCTCACCATCACACAAAAGTATTTTCATTCAATTTTTGCGAGGCTTATTTTCATTTTCTAAAAAAGAAAGAAAAATGTTGTCTTACTTCTAGCAATATTAAAAGCAGTTTAAATGACTAATTTAATAGAACTAGTAGATAATTCTTATCAACTCAAAGCCAAAATATTTGCGATCAAAATTTATTTGCCAGATATACCATGCTTAGTTTGTAGTGAGTATCGTATGACAATGGTACTCAAGCTTTTTGAACACACTCCTACGTTATGACATCCATCATAACACAAGCTTAACTCATTCACCCCTGAAGACACATTTGAACTCTTTCAATTCAAAGTTTGGAATAGTTCATTATGAAATTTCAGGGGTGAATGAGTTAAGTGACAGAGATTTTCCAGGTAATACTGTTTCTTTCTGGATAAGCTCTGAGGCACTTTTAGTGCTTGTAAACTTATTTAGAGCTAGTAAAACTATTCTATATGAAGTAGAAAATTTGTATCTATATGTATAAGTAAACATTTTATTCTGCTGCTTTTAGGAAGTTAGCCTAACTAAGTAGACATCTTTGCTTTTTCATTTTCAGAAGTTCCTAAGACAACTCAAACTGGTAATTCTTTTAAAACAAAATGCACTAAATGGGCGACTCCTTGCAAAATTTGCATTCACCCAAAGCATTATATTGCCTCCCTTTGCTTTTTACCCAATATCGATGTTGTTGCTGATTGGTCAAACTCTTTGGTGTCATGTGACTATTTGCATGTGGTTTTCATGGTTGATTCTCTTTTCAGGTTATATTTTTGTTGCCGAATGAATAGTTTTTGATTTCTGTTTGACATTTATTTTTCACCTGTGATATGTGTCCACTTGTCTCGTTACCAGATTTAAGCCATGTGGTCAGCTGTTGGTTACTTTTGGCATCCATTGTCATTCTATTGTATCTTTGGTTTCTTTCACGCCACTCTTTAGCTTCTTTTGTGTCATAAGTGTTTCAATTGATAATGTTTGATTAAGTATATTTGAGACATTTACCTTTACAGGTTGTCATGCCCCTTCTCATTCAATCTATCAAACTTGTGACTGTTGTGAGGCCCCTTCTTTGAATCCGGTGCACCCCTGCCAGGTGCAAGACCCTCTATTTGCTTTTTCGTCCTTCACAGGAAATTACTATTTAGAGTGCGTTCTGTAAACATTTTTGCTTCCATGAAGACGAAAGTGAAGTTGTAGTGACAATTTTCTGATATACAGTGCATTTTGATTGCATTATATAATAAACTGTTGGTGTTCGATTTAGCTATTTAAAATTTCCAAACAGGAAGAAGAGTATGATATAAATGCTAACAAATACTGAAAAACTTCAGGAACCCAACTTTGATTTATCTATTACAAATCAAAGCTGTGTTGTCATAATTGCCCTGAAGTGGCTGTAAAGATTACTACATTTATTGTTTTTTAATTATTGACAACATATAAAGACAATCGAAAAAGGTTCAATCTTATCAAATGTTTTCTATGATTTTGACTATATGATTAAAATAAAAGATTGTTTGTAATTTTTTTCACATATTTGATGAAATTAAAATGCATGATGGTGTGCCCTTGATCTTTGACCTTTAGTTATATAAGGTAGTTGACCTTGACCTTAATTAGACATGCATGTTGATAATGGAATCTTTAATCCTTGAACTCGGGTGTGATGGTTATTTGCTTTGACCTTTCACTTTCTGCTTTCCTTTTGTTTGACCTTGAGCTTGTGGTTAGATGACCCTGATCTGAAGCTGATTTTAAGGTGACCTTTACCTTTGACCTTACCGGCTGCATGTGATCAGTAGATAGTATACCATGGTGCATGTTAATAAATCGATAAAAAATAAAAAAATATAAGATAAGAATTTTTGACAAAGAAAAAGCCCTGCCTTCATCCTCCATAATAGTGACCATAGTAACCATTTCCAGTATCCATGGTTACCAACTCCGTACTGTCCATACCATCCTCGTAGTAAGCTTACCCTCCCTCCTCTTTCCAGTTGTGGCATTTGGTATTGTGCTAATAATGTCCAACATATTCTTTAAGCTTTACCTTGAATCCTCTGTCTTCTTATGACCCTGGCTTTTCGAGGACCATGAATCCATAAACGTTTTGCTATACATGCCTTCGTCAGTCTATTATATTGCTGTGACCAATAGCTTTACAAGAGCTGTAAATAGGATTGTGAATCAGCATTGGCTTTTGTTTGTCCTATATTATGTCACATATTCAATTCAAAAGAATATGAGTAACTTAATATTTAAAATAACACACATTGAGTTTGTGTTAGAAACTCAAAGATTGCCAGTAAATGTTTTTATCTTGGTACTGTTTTCAATAAGGTGTTCCTCTGGTACATGGGGATAATTGACCTGTTGATTAATCTCCTGTAGTTACCTCCCTTGTCACAGAAATCATTGCAGTGATACTAAATGTGCCTGCCATAGCCTTATTTTAGCTTACCCTGTATCTTTTGATATTCCCACGTCACTCCCATCCAATCCTGTTACATATATCGACCCTGTCTTATGTTCCCACGTCTCTTCCATCCAATCCTGTTACATATATATCGACACTGTCTTATGTTCCCACGTCTCTCCCATCCAATCCTGTTACTTATATCAACCCTGTCTTATGTTCCCACGTCTCTCCCATCCAATCCTGTTACATATTTCGACCCTGTCTTATGTTCCCACGTCTCTCCCATCCAATCCTGTTACTTATATCGACCCTGTCTTATGTTCCCACGTATCTCCCATCCAATCCTGTTACTTATATCGACCCGGTCTTATGTTCCCACATCTCTCCCACCCAATCCTGTTACATATATCGACCCTGTCTTATGTTCCCACGTCTCTTCCATCCAATCCTGTTACATATATATCGACACTGTCTTATGTTCCCACGTCTCTCCCATCCAATCATGTTACTTATATCAACCCTGTCTTATGTTCCCACGTCTCTCCCATCCAATCATGTTACTTATATCAACCCTGTCTTATGTTCCCACGTCTCTCCCATCCAATCCCGTTACATATATCGACCCTTTCTTATGTTCCCACGTCTCTCCCATCCAATCCTGTTACATATATCGACCCTGTCTTATGTTCCCACGTCTCTCCCATCCAATCCTTTTACACATATCGACCCTGTCTTATGTTCCTATGTATCTCCCATCCAATCCTGTTACTTATATCGACCCTGTCTTATGTTCACACGTCTCTCCCATCCAATCCTGTTTCATATATCGACCCTGTCTTATGTTCCCACGTCTCTCCCATCCAATCCTGTTACATATATCGACCCTGTCTTACGTTCCCACGTCTCTCCCATCCAATCCCGGTAATTTGTCTACAGTATCTTTTCCCACCCACATCCGTCCAACATTATACTGTATCTTGTATTTCCACGTCCCTTTTCTGCAATCCTGGTATATCTGTTCTACAGTACACTTCGTATATGCGCTGCAGCGTATTGCCAGATTGGCAGGTTGTATCTCCATAGTGTATCAATATTATAGTAATTCTTTGACTGAATTGCTCAGGTTCTTTTGTATGGAACTTTTAAAGCCACATTGTCCATCTGAATATTGCTCATATACAAAATATACAACAAAACATACAGCTGATCATGTAGCTAGCCATCATTTCATCTTATATAAATATACTCAACATATTCTGCTAGATAATATATACCATCTTTTTGACATTTTCGAAGATTAATTATTAGTTGTCACTTGATATGGAATAAAATGTTATTTAAAATTAACTCCTGGTTTAAAAATGTATTCACTGACATGCATACATTGATTTAGGCAGAGGTTAAAACTGAACTGATTAGAAAAAGTGTTTAACCAGTTTAAAACAAAATCGCAGTTGACAAATTTCATTTACGTAGATTAACAGATAATGAAAATTGCTCGTGTGGAAATGGGCGTATTGTGATTCTTTAACTTAAACCAGGTTTGATCCTTATTCAATGACCCTTTTTCGGAGCATTTCCACACCACAAAAAAATACAATAATGGTGACATTTGAAAGAAAATAAAAAGATAAATTGTTCAACACAAACAGAACATGTTACATCAGAAAGAATCCTTCTGTTGTATGTAATTAATGATATTTGTGCATTAACGATCTCAGTTTATTTTTTCTTTAATCAATAATTTGGATAAAAAATATATTAACTCAAATTTGTGGGCTGCTTTCAAGTTTATTAATGCACTAATTTAAAAAAGGGAAACTTTGAAATTGCTGAGTGCTGTTTGATTTAATGAATGTTACATTGATTGCTGAAATAAACACTAAAGGGTTGCTGCGGTCTAGCGCCAAAAGAATTTAACATTCTAACATTTTTTAAATATGATGAATAAGTTCCCACAAAATAACTGATGCCGTGTTGAAGGTTTTTTTTTATAATCAAGTGCTTCTTCAAGGTAATCTGGTGAATATTTAAGCAGCCTTGCTTAGTCTTTTGAACATCAACTTACCGTTACATATGGGATTTTTAAGTTAAACACTAACATGTATTTTTTCCGTCTTACTTTTCCTTTCCTACTCTAGTGTATTTTAAATAGGGGTACAGGTAAACTACCTTAAATTCAGACACTAATAAGTTGGTGTATTCTTCCTTTCCTTTTCCCTTTCATAACCTAGTGTATCAGGAATGCAGGTAAAATACCTGTATTTAACATACTTATGTAATCAGATTACTAAAACGACTTTAAAATTTTTTTTTTTTTATAAAAATCCAATATCTGAATCTTAGACTTTTTCAACATTCAGATGTGCCAGTTTCAGGGGACAATATGGCTTTAAGAAGAAGCATTCAAAGCAGCTTGCAAATGACATGGCTCGGTCAGTATGATAATAGTGATGGACGATGGTCAGCATATATTGACCGTTACCTAACACGTGATGGTAAAAATTATGCAATAAAATATCCATTTTTTTTGTTCTTTTCTCTCTCTCTAAAACAGCAAAATGATTAGTATGTGGTTTTAATTCTTAAAAGAAATTATGAAAAGCAAAGTATGTTTACTATCAAGATGTTAGCTACAGTAATAATTTAATATTTAATATTTCTAAGAATTAAGATTATTTAATGTATGGCATGGCAATATTGGCAATACAGATGCACCATATACAATTTGCACTGCTTTCTGCATCAGATGTGTGATTTCACTTTACCCTTTTGAAAAATGTATGAATTGTTTTGTTTCTTATTTTGAATTTGGAAATGTCTGTGTGGTAAATGTATGATATTTGAGGGTGTTTGTTGGGTAAACTATTTGGATATTTGGTATGTATTTCCTCTGTGGTTTTACCTGTGTTTAATAAGCATGTTGTTTCCTGTGATTTTCCTGTTTTGTTATATATGTGTTATTGATCTGCTGGTGTTATAGACGAAGATGAAGACTCCGAGTCTATTGATGAGTCTAGTACCGACCTTAACAGAACTACTGACTCAGCAGATGTAGGAGAGGAGGTTGAGGAAAAAGAAGATGAGGATGCTACAGAGGACAAGGAGACCACAGACAAGGTGGTGGAAGGAGCAGAGGAAAAGAAAGAAGATGAAGTAGAAGACAAGAAAGAAGAAGAGCAAGAAGAGGAAAAAGAAGAGGAAAAAAGTGAAGAGGAAACTGCAACTGAACAAAAAGTGGAAGACAAACCTGAGGATGAACAAGAGGAGAAAGAGGAAGCTGAAGGAGGGAGTGACCCAGAAAGCACACCCCAGGGAAGTGAGGCTACACAGGAGGAGGGCAAAGGTAAGGGAGAGATGACTGACTTAAAATACACATCAAGGGAATGGGGCTACAGAGGGAAGGAGGGCAAAGATGAGGGAGTGATGTAAGTAGCACAGCTTAGCCGAGTGAGGCTATGCAGCTAGAGGGCATAGGTAAGGGAGGATGTGATGCAGAATGTTCATCAAAGGAATGAGGCTACATAAGATGGGGGCAAAGGTAAGAAAGAGAGTGACCCAAAGAGCACAAACACCCTAGAGAAGTGTGGCTACACAGGAGGAGGGTAAATGTAAGGAGGGAAGTGACACAGAATATATTGGAGTATTGGGAGACTACACAGTATGAGAACTATAATGGGATTGCAAATATTAATCTGAATAAGGTGAAAAAGATAATGTACTCTGTTATATTTCATAAGTTCAGGATGGACAATAGATGTTTTTCTTAAGCTATATATTGACTGATTCATTATAAACGCAAGATTGAGATAAGCATTTTAAACACATGGACAGACTTGATTTATCACTGTAGACAGATCTTTCTGCTAGTGTAGTCATAGCATACATACTTTACACAAAATCTAGTCTTTCATTTAACCAAATCTGTGTATTGGATACAGCAGCACAGTACGTGGATATTTCTGCGACATTCTTATTAAAGCAAGAAGGATACTTGAATTTAATCCTACAGTGCAGATTTCTAGTCAAGAAAATACTGCGATGCATACTTCACAATATCAAAATTTTAAAGTCAACACTGCTCAATCAGCTAACATTGTGCAAAACAAACGTTAAAGATAGGTATGAGCATCCTAATGGATGCCAGGTGTACCTCTAAATATGTGAAATCCTTTATTGAGTACTTACCTTGATGGTTCAAGGAGAAAGGCCTGAATCAGAGGGTCAGGAAGCTGAGGAGGTGCAACAGAAGAGTTCTGATGCTCCAAAGGAATCCCAACCAGTGGCGACAAGTCAGCGTGTGGATGATCCTCAGAGCAAGCCAGACAATTTACCGATCTCCGCCATTACGGTGGACGTCCACAGTGACCGGCAGCAGAAACCGCATTTAGAGAACCTGGACCTACAGGCAGCGAACATGCCCATGCCTGTAGACAACCTACCTTCTCTTTCTGGGGAGGGAGGGTCGTTGACAGAACGGCTGGAGCGGGCACTGGGGCCAGTTGCACCACTGCTCAGGGAGATTTTCGTGGATTTCGCTCCATTCCTGTCAAAAACACTGATAGGGTCACATGGACAAGAACTTCTTATTGGAGGTATGTGTAATATATCATTAGTAAAATATATTAACAATTTGCTTATCAGAAACCAAACCTGTTTATTTGCTTCCGAATTGTAAGTTACACATCATTGAAATATTTTTGTATTGTTACCGTTTTGTGATCCACAAAGATCTTCTTGTCTAGACATATCTAAAAAAATAGTCCTAAAAGTGCTTTGTGATCAGCACTAACTGTTCACTGTTAACCTTGACTGTCAGGCCTGGTGACCTTGAAGCAGAGTACATCAGTGGTGGAGTTAGTCATGCTGTTGTGCTCACAGGAATGGCAGAACTCATTACAGAAACATGCCGGTCTAGCATTTATAGAACTAGTCAACGAAGGAAGGTAGGTCATCACAAAATGACAGAAAAGAAAATGTATTACAGGTCTTTCAATACTTCAAATATAGAGATTATAAAGTTCCATGTAGTCCAATTTCTTGATTCTGCAACATTTTAGAAAGTTTTTCTCTACATTGGCATTGTATGACCTTAATGGCTATTAAGACCTTAACAAAACAGAAACACATCAACCTTTCTTCATTTTGCTCTAAACTCATGGTTGCTCGATTCTCAGGTTGTTAGCCCATGCCACGAGGGACCATATTGTACGTGTGGCAAACGAGGCAGAATTTATCCTCAACAGAATGAGAGCCGAGGATGTTCAGAAACATGCAGAGTTTGAGGTAGGTAGTTTTGAAACAGGTTAACTGGTGAGAGAAATCTAAAATCTAATATAGGCGTTGTATATCATCAAGTGCCATGGTTTCTAGGAATCTTAGAATATGAACTAACAATATGTAAATTGCTTCCTTCTCTGATCTTTCAGAGCCTGAATAAAGTTACTATTCTTTTTCTGGTATCTATGATTCCAGAACATGTTAAAATCATATTCTTTTGGGGTCTCTAAGAGGTCAAAGCATTCAAGTTCGTCCTCTTTTTCTTACCTCTAGGAGCGTTAAAAACATATTTTTTGTCCTTTTCCTTTGATCATTGAAAGTCCAGGGCATGTAACATTCACGTTCTTACTTGAGTCTCTAGTTGTCCAGAACATTCAATGTTCCGCCTCTTTTTCTGTTCTCTGGGATCGTCAAAAACAGCTAAAACTCCCCCTGTTCTTCAGATCTCTAGAAGCCCACAGTAGTAAAGTTCACGTTTTTTTTCAAGTCTTTAGTTTCTCAGGACATTCAGCGTTCCCCCTCTTTTCCTATTATCTAGAAGCACAAAGGACACAAAAATGTCTCCTCTTCTATCTGATCGCTAGAAGCCCACATCATGCAAAATTCCTTTTTTGTTTCTAGTCTCTAGGAGCCCAGACCATGCTGGACAGAAAAGAGGAAGAAAAACTCTGTGACCATCTTATAAAATCTGCAAAGCGAAGAGATCATGTAGCTGCTGTGAAGCTACGGGATAAAATACTCAACATACTGTCAAACAAGCATGGAGCTTGGGGAAACTCCCCCAACAGGTAAATCTTACTTAACGAGCAACATGTTGTTAGTGTAACCTTGTACTGAAAAAGGATTTTCTTAAGGATACCTGTATCGGGAATCCAAACCTAGACTTCAGTTGTTATTCAGCGTGGACATTTTTCGTATTAGTAACAGTTCTGAAATCTTAATTTCACATTTTTTTTTATCAATAAATATTCGCTGGTAGATATATTTAGAGGTAATTTACTCAACGCGAAATACGAGAGCATTTCCACATCGGGAAAATTTGGTAATTTTTGCAATAGTATATATGACAAGACTTTGTCGTTATTCTTTTTAAGGTGTAATTTACATAGTAATATCAAAGAAATATGTTATTTCCCTGTTTAAGGTTTGAATAAGAAAAACTTCTGAATTGTTATATAAACCTGAGTTTATGCCTGTAGGAGGTCAGAGCATTGGAAGTTGGATGTGTGGGAGGATGATTCCAGGAGACGTAGACGACTCATCAAGAATCCCAATGGTTCTTCGCATCCTGACGCCACACTAAAGGCTGCTATTGAGCATGGTAGGTCCTTCCAGAACCTAGGACAACTAGCAACTCGACAACCCATTAGAGTTCGATAACACCCTGCTGATTTAAGAAACTAAAGCAGAACAATATTCAAACAGAATGTCACAATGTTGTCATAATGGGAGTAAAATCTACTCTGTCGTATTTACTTTGGAAATGCTCAAACGTGAAATGTATGTCAACGTTGTAAAGATAGTACAATGTTATTACGTGAAGCAAGGCAAGAAGGGATGTTGTAAGTGAAATGATATCTGTATGGTGAGATATCGTTGTGTTCTTTCTATTCTATCTAGCAAAAATAAGTTAATATACTTTTTTGAAAAATGTGTATTATGAAAAAACTTTATCTATGTATAAGAAAATTGAGATTTTACACAATTCAGTGTATACGGTACGCAAAATTAAAGCTTTGTATTAAAAATCTTGTTCCACAATAATTATCATCATTGTTTTGTTTAGGAGCGACGGAGGATGCCATTAACCAGGCAAGGGAAGCATTCCACGCCCACCTAGCTTCGACCAAGCGAGCACAACAGACTCCTGATTACACAGACGAGGAGCTACTCATGGAGGAGCGTGACTTTGAACAGGACTACGCAGGTAAAGTCATATGTGTGTGATCATTACTAATGAAAAATCATAATTACAGCTTTACAGAACTAATGTTCCCCAGTTCACAAAGAAAAAAGATAAACACCTCGCATGTCCGATTCATGCCTTGTGTCGTAATGAAATCGCAGTTTCTCACCAGATCACACTTTTCTGAAAGGGTATACAGAGGTACCTAGAGAGACCGTAGCGAAACGAAAAGTGGATAAAGAGAGAAAAGAAAATATACAAATTGTTGCAATAGGTTGCTCTCTTTTCTGTTCCCAATCACAAACTACAATTATACGGGGATTCCACAAACGGTACCAGTATCGCAGTGTGTACCGTTATGTTCTGGAGATGTGAACTCTCTGGAAATGAGTTTAAAACAAGTGACGTTTTGAATTTTGTTGCCAGGCCCTGTGGCACTGTCGACCACGTGTAAGTTGATAGCGCCGGGAGTGATGGTTAACGGGACGATGGCCATAACGAAGACGGAGATGTACTTCGAGATGGACGAAGACAACGAGGAGAACAAGAAAATGGACCCAAAGGTTTGTATATGTCAGGTAGTCTATGTTTTATGTTATTGTGTTTACACCAAGGAAATGTAGGGAAAATCGTTCATGTTGTACTAATCATCAAGTTTATTTTGCAGAATTGTTTTATCTCTAGTGTTTTACAGGTTGTTTCACCTGGAACTTTGGAATGAACACATGCGTTACACAGCAGGGACATCTGTACAGGTATAAGTAGGTAACTTGTTTTTCATGACTTTTATATTTTGTCGACATGGCTGTGTAACCTCAGGCTGATATAGTTGCATTTGAAGGAACACTTTGCTAGCCTCCATGGATGCTACTCGAGAGGTGGGTACGTACTGGTTGTGAGGGCTGTTGGCGTTCCTGCTGAATTGTTTGAAAGGATCACCTATCGCACCAAAAAAAAGACGGTATAGTATCCATATCACTAACGGCAATATTTTGAATTGCAGATATTTTTGTAACTATATTTCAGGATGACAATTTCTGAAAGGTTACTGCGGAGTGTATGTACCAGGATCCCGTTGTAGTAACGAGTTGGTAGTCGGTCTGAGAAGTCACTGCCGGAAAGTTATGGACGTACACAGATTTTACAGACATAACAGATATTTTGAATGTATAAACAATAAAGATATAGAGTTTGCGTTGTTTGTTGTATTTAAAGGACATTTGAGTCATTGTGTGCGGAAGGCAAACATGCTTATTTTATCACCCATTTTGAGAAGTACCCCCGTCTTGTGCATCTACTTTCAGGTCCTCGCAATGTAATACATAGTTTACCTTGAATACGCAGCTAATTAAAAATCAAAATATCTAGAATCTTGTTAAAAAAAAAATCCTTACTGACCAGAACCAAATTGTATCAAACTTTCTTTGACCCCCAATTAAGGGCATTTTTAAAATCATTTTATTTATCCATCTTTTTCTTTATGAAATTTTGAAATTAAGCATAAGCATTGCCCTCTTAGGATCCAAAATAATAGCCACTAGAAGTGAAATGTGATAAACCATATTTTATTAAGTTATTTTATTTATACAATTTTGCCGGCCTTTATTTTTTCTTCAAAATCTTGTTATGATTTCATTATTGTTACGTATTACATCTTGATAGTATTTCCGATTCAAAAGGTGTTTCCTTCGCATATTTTCGATTGATTGAACAAATAGCTAAAGACCACATGGAGTATAACGTCGTGATTTTTGGCCATGGAAATGTGCTAGTTTTTTTTCCAGCTGGTATGCAATAACATATTAATCATAAGAATACAAAATGATAAACTTTTGGTTTCGAATGTAAAAATTATGATTAAATGTAACTTAAATGTAACTGTAAATAGTCTGGAAAGAAAGTGCGGGCAGCTTAGATGGAAAACGCATTTGAGCTGTCGGTAAAGACAAAGATTTCTGCAACTGAGTGATTCACAGGGCAGGCAGCGGTAGACATAAGGGTGCTGATGACGATTACGGTAAGTAAAACCATAACAACAAGGTGACGTCTGTGACTTTCAAAAGTGTCCTCTCAAAAGTTATTTATACATAGATTGGAGGAAGGCTTTGCAAAATACAATGGTAACAAAGTTTCATAATTGGCCGTGTTACACATGGGTACGGTGAAGTGCTAGTCTGCTATGAAATATTTGGCGAATAAAGGTTTTGAGAAGCATGACGAATTTGTCGGAGGCGTCATCTTGTATCTGTGCTGTCGTCCTTTCTGGGTGCGGGAGGACGTTGGACAGAAACTTAAAATGAAGATATGCCACCTTGCACCACGGGCTTTATGTTCAAAAAGCTTGATAAAGGGTGACGTATCGCAACTTCCTTGATATAACACGGTCGGACACTTTCAACCCAGACATTGGTTAATACCTCCATTCTTTATAAAGTGTGAATTCCCGGTCAGGGTTCATTGTCATCGTATTTTATCTCTTTCCGTTCTTTTAAGTTTATCCCAGAAGCCCCCCGCCCCTCCCTTCTGAGAAAAAGTGAGTGTCATTAATTTGGTACCGGTGCGTTCGTCTCTCGCGGATGGTTTCTGTGTCCTATATTTCCTCTAAAAATTGTTCAATTTCAACCAAATATGGCCTGCAAATACTTATTTGCTACTTTCTAGCTATGGTCGACGCGTGCATTTTGCGCTTTATTATTGAAGCTTTCTGTGCAAAATGTCCGCCTGAAAGGTTTCTGATTGGTTTTCATTCAACAACTACTAAAAATGATTCGATTCGGAATGCATATTTAGTTACATGTAGTCGCTGTCATATTATGTTTACGATTAAGTTACCAGCTTCAAAAATTAAAGCATATTTAAGTATTTTTAAATCTAAGTAGCATTTTGTGTTAACAGAATTGAAACCAAACAAAGATTATCTTAACACTTTTTCGCTTATAGATTGATGTTTCTTAACTTATCCGTGAAATCTCGTCTACAGAATCATATTTAACGGATTCGTGCAATGCTAACTTTGTAACTTTGAAACGTGACATAAAGCTGCTATTACTTTTGATGCATCATTATCAATTATTTATAGATCTAGTTGTATATATTTTCACGAATAACTCGATATTTCGACCGATAAAATGTCGATTAATACGTCTGGCTTCATTTAATTCGCTATTATGATTGATTTAACTATGAGTATAACAGCATTGGCTTTATATCTTAAAATCTTTGCGGTTTCAGTTAATGACATGAACGTCTGCAGTCGCTTCTAAATCGCATTTTTTCACGAGTAAAACTACTTCTTCGCACTAGAAACCGAGATTCAAACCCACAAAATGAGTCGGTAAATTCCTGTCGCTAAACAAAGCGCTACTAGTATATGGGATGAACTATGCAACAAAGCGCTTATGATGGGATGAACTATGCGGACACTTGACTATTTTTCGTAGACACGTGTACACTGACTTTTTGACGATATGACCTGCTGTGTAAATATTTTATAAAAATACTAAATACATGTAACTAGCCACGTGTAACATATTTCTCGGCGACAGCTAGGGGTCGTGCACATGCTCGCGTCAGTGATAGGACCCAATGAATGTTTACTAACCGCACCCCAAAACATTACTGAAAATGTATTCTTAACAGGGATGTGTAAAAATATCAACATCAACAACAAATGGTTAAATCAGTCCTTACACTTGGATCAAATGTGTAGAATCATCAAGTGCGGCAGTGAAATTGAATCCAGTTATTGGTATACAAGTTAACGGTTAGGAATATTTGATCAATTTGCTGTTAACACGCATCATTCACACAAGCAGATGATCCAAACTCTCTTGACGAGGTGCTGTTAATCCTGGACAAAACTTTGCACAAGTTTTTGGATTTCAAGTTAATATGGGAAAAGTCAAGGGAATTAGGATTGAGGCTAGAAAGAGTTGTAGGTAGTAGATTTTGCCTGATAGAAATCTATACTGGAATCGCAGTGAAAAGTTTCAGATTTTGGAAAAGAAAATATATATGAGGACCATTATTTGGAAAAGGTAAAAGGCTATTTATAATTTGTTAATTTGATCGGTCTTTTAAGACACCTGTCATATTTTGGTAAAGTAACTGTGATGGAAACGTTAGCACTGCCTAAATAGAATTAAGTAAACCGTGTTACACGGTGACTATATGGAGGGTGAGTAAGGAATGCTACATAATCTATCCTTTTTTCATGCTCTTAAAAACTTAATGGATCAAAAACGTACTATATCCCACCTTATTCACCATGGAAGACTAGTTTTAGCCATTTTTGAAACTTATGGGGGAAACTAAGCGTTTAAGTTAAAACAATGTCTACTAGAAATATAAAAATAATTCAATACATTTTGGAAAGAAATGATACGGATATTGGATGGATGGATGGATGAATGACGGGTTTCGCGCCTACATAAATCCGCCCTTACGGGTTTCATCTCACTGACGGAAGTCGGTGTTCAGTCGGCGTCCTGTACGGATATTGACATCCCTCATTGATATAACAACCCTACTTTTTTTTATTAAGTATTTGTCCCTAGCCAATTTGGTATGATACCTATATTAAAGTAAACAAGAAGTCCCTTGTCTACAGAAGATGGCGTGATGTAGGTGTTTATTCCATTGGAGATTTGTTTGTCAATAATATCCTTTCGTCATTAAAAGAATTCCAGTACAAGTATATTTATTGTGCATGTCAACTTTGTGGAATACTAATAGGTATTCGATATTAATGCAAGAAATTGAACAAGTGTAATGTGAAAATTGTGCAGGCAACATAGAACCTGTAAACTAAATACCTTCATTAATACACATGAAAAAGTGATAAAACATTTCTTCTATAAATGTTACACTGAAACAGTAGAAACTAGGCCAGCTAAAGCTCGGTTAAAATGGCAGGAATTATTACAAATGGTTATTAGTCCCCTACCGGTGAAACCGGGGGGACTATAGGTTTTGTCTGCGTCCGTCTGTCCGTCCGCCGCCAAAATCTGCAGGTTTGGGTTAAAGTTTTGTAATGGCTTACCATTCGCATAATAATGATGTTAGGATGCTGATTCTTAGCATAGAGGTTCCTTAGGGGTCTAGCATCATTGCTGTGGATTAAAAATGGGAAATAATTTTATTTTTTGGGGGAATTTTTGACATGTTTTGGACTTAAATATCCTAGCCAAAATCTTCAGGTTAAAGATTTGTAATGGCTCACCGTTCACTTAATAATAGTGTTAGGATGCTGATTTTATATACAGAGTTGTTTTTAGGGATCTAGCATTAATGCTGTGGATTGAAAATGTGTTTTTTTTGAATTTTTGACATGTTTTGGACTTAACTATCATGGCCAACATCTGTAAGTTAAAGTTTGGGTTAAATTTTTGTAATGGCTCACCATTCACTTTATAATATTGTTAGGATGCTGATTTTATGGACAGAGGTTCTTCAGGGATCCAGCATTAATGCTGTGGATTGAAAATGTTGTTTTTTTTGAATTTTGAAATTTTTGGACTTAACTATCTTGGCCAACATCTGCCGGTTAAAGGGGGGGGGGGGG